AGTAGTAGTAGGTTTAGGGTTTTGAATTTGAAAAGGAAATGAAAAGAAACGAAGATAATTGAACTGTGATTGTTGGGGAACTTGATTGAAACTGGAAAAAGAGAAAACAAAATTTTTATGTGGGCCCCACTAAAAAAAAGTGAGAAGATGACAATTTGACGTCTAAAAAATGCCACGGTGTCAAAAATGTCCTTGCTGGATTTACACATCATTAAAATAAAAAAAAAAACCAGTGATTTTGTGGCATTTTAACGAGCCACCTGGCATTTAACTGACGGAAGGATCATTTTGGTACAAAAATGAAAGTTTAAGGATAATTTTGGTACTTTTTAAAGGTGAGGGACGATTTTGGCGCCAAAATGAAAAGTTGAGGGACTAAAATGGTACTTAAACCTAAAGAAAATACTTAGATCTTACTTAATTTTACCTAAAAATACAGAGAAATAGTAAGAAAAAAAATATTATATCTTACCTAATCATACTTAGATGAGTTAAAACATTCAAGAAAAGTCCCTTACAAACTAACCAAATCAAAAGAAACCTATAGAATTGGAGGAGCAAAATAGAAGCACAAGCAACAACAAAGAAAGAAATTAGAGACAAAGCTAATGGTGAAGGAGAAAGGAACGAGAGAAGAGAAGGAAGAAAGGAACAAGTAAACAAATTTGATGGAGAAGCGGAGAAGACATACTGCAGAACAGTGATGGCATCCTTTTCGGTCAAGCAAGATGAGCGAAAAGGATGGGAAACGTGGGGGGCCTGCAATCTCAAAAACCAAGAGCCTGAGAGATTCTCACTTTTGGACAAAATTTCTTACCGAAATAGGCAAAAGCTGCACAACCCACTTGTTCGGTCAAGCACAATGACCGAACAAGTGCTACAATGATGCATCTCCATCAAGTCAAAAATGCATTTCACCATTTCGGTCAATTTTTCTGATCGAAAAAAAATTGCCAAAACGTCAAGCCCTACAGCCTTCAGTAACCTCCATCAAATCAAAATCAGAATTCACAATTTCGGTCAGTATAACTGACCGAAAAAAAATTGCATAAAACAGTGAAAGCTGAAGCCTTCAGCAGCCTCCATCAAATCACAACCAGCTTTCTATATTTCGGTCATTAACCATGACCCCAAAAAAATGAAAAAAAAAAAATATGAAAGGCTAAGGACATTAGTCTCCGAACCTGGCTCTATTTTCGGTGAAAAAAACTGACCGAATAAAAGGGTGTGATTTTTTTTATATAATTTCGGTGAAGATGCTTAACTGAATTGTTTTTCAGTCAAGCATACTGACCGAACTAACCTTAGTTCGGTTAAAAAAATTAACTGAAATAATATTTGACCGAATTAATAAAAAAAAATGATATAAAACGGACAATTTTATATCTCGGTCAGTTAATATGTCTGAAAAGTTACTTATTTCAGTCAAGATTTTTGCTTGACCGAAATGCTCTTTCCGAAAAAATCATATTTTCTAGTAGTGTATATGATTCATATAAAAAGAAATAATATTATTTTTAATTTTTACTAAAAAAGTTAATGGTCTTTTTGGTGGTCCCTTAATTTGTCTTCAAGCTTTTAGTGAATAGAGCAGTGTTGCAGTGGCTTGCATTGAGCCATCAATGGAGTCTTTCTTCTTTTTTTTTCTATTTTTTTTAAGTTGATTAGTTGAAGGAGATTGACACCGAGACAGTAGGACTAGATACTGGAGAAATGACATAGAAGACACAAGAATTGTTTTTTTTTTTTGGTTTAAGTACCATTTTGATCCCTTAACTTTTCACTTTGGCACCAAAATTGTCCCTCACCTTTAAAAAGTACCAAAATTATCCTCGAACTTTCATTTTTGGTACCAAAATGGTCCTTCCGTCAGTTAAATGACAGATGGCACGTTAACTTGCCAGCAAATCACTAGATTTTTTTAATTTTAATGACGTGTAAATTCCATGTAAGAAAATTTAATATTTTTTATTATTATTTTATAATTTTTCAAAACTAAAAACAAAAAATAAAAATTTAATTTTCTTTCTTATTCTTTTCTCTCTCTTATCGGCTTTTCTTCCTCTCCAAAACAAACACACACAGATTTGCCCATTGATGGATTAAGTGGAGATTGCTTTAGTTTTTTCGTGAGCCTCCATGCTTTCTTCCACTCATTAGTTTTAGCTGCTGCTGTTGCTTCTTCTTCATCAAAACAAACCCAGATCTGGGTTTTTCAAAACCAGATCTGGGTTTGTCTCAAGCCCCAATCTGGGTTTGAGACAAACCCAGATCGGGGCTTGAGACTGCATTTCTCCATCCACCTCCGCTTCTTTCCTCACTCGTCATTTCTCCTTTGAATCGACGGATACTATTGTGAAGAAGAGCTTGAAGCCTGGCGTCATGGCCCCCGCACGGCTCTGCAACAGCAATGGCTGGTTTGCGCCGTCGCAGGCTCACTATAGGCTTGGCCGCGTCGAGATCGGTTCTGTCAGCTCCGACTCCGGCAGCTCCGGCTCCGGCAGTAACATGCGTCGGGATCTAACTGGTTTTTGGGATCTACCTGCTTTCTGCGATCTACCTGGTTTCTACGATCTACCTGGTTTCTGGGATCTACCTGGCTCTGTGGTTTACAATCTCTTGGGCTTTCGCCTCTAACGAGCTAGCCACTGATGCGAGCTTCATTTTTGTTCTAGTTTTTTGAACTCTTGTGGTTTATGTTCTATTTTTTCAAACTCATGGTTTTTGTTCTGTTTTTT